AGTACTGGATAGTAGCGTCATTTCAAGATTAAACAATCGCTGTTTTAGCATTGTCACCAAGCTGTGATCCTGCGATCCATCCGAAGAAGAATCGATCGGAGCAGTAAAGGTTAAGAGAAATCGGGATGCATATGAAATACGATCCTTTTTAGACTGCTATCCGCGGAATGAGTCTGATTCGGGTCAGAATAACCCGCTAGCACCGCCACGAGGATAATCGATCCTCCGCGCAATCGAGTCTCCGCGCTCCGCCTGGCAACCGCGTCAATACGCAATTACTTGGTCGACCATCAGCCCCGATTATTTATACATCGGATCGGTCGGTACTGTTATCCGTCTGTTATCGAGATAAGTCACGAACGAGGAAGATTCAAGAGACAAAGTTTGTAAACATTAAGAGCAAAATTCTTTATACTCCATTTTAATTACTCCAAAATATTGATCTTGAATTTTTCTATACCTATCTCTAATAAGCTATTAAAAAATAATAGCTTATGTTCAGAATTGTGAGTTTATTGATCTAAACCTCGTGACAAAAATGTATGCGATACATTTCACAAATCGTGAAATCAATTGTACAATTTACTGTTTGATGCAATTTTTCATTTAAATGCATGATTTATCTTTTTTTTTTAATTATTGATTATAATATTGTAAAATAAATAGATAAAAATGTTAGAATTTTAATTATTTTGACAAGTTTATATAAAATTGAAATAAGAGAAATGTAATAATTGAATAGAAAATTCTTGCTCTCTAAAATCTTTGGAGTGGAATCGAATTCCAAAGAATGACAATTGAGCCAGGGCTGAAAAAGAGTAGTGCAATTGTTAATTTCTAAGAGTAAGATTTCACTCTAAAAGTTTTAGAGAGTAGACGACGGTATATTTTTGAAAGAATATGAATATGTAAAAATCAGATTAAAAAAATGTGTGTATAGGAAAGGCGTGACATCTTCGCAGATAATGAATATGTGATGACAAGAGTACAAAAGAGATAAATTGATGCTCAATCAAATGTCTTAGGTATTTTCATTTGTAAAACATGTGTTCTGTCATGCGTACTTTAGCATGACACATCGGAACAAATGGGATGACATAGAGTGATTGTCATTCATAAATGCGATTTCGATAATTGCGACGTTAAACGACAGCAATCATTTCCATAATAATAATTCTATAAAAAAATATTTAAATATCTTTTTCGGATAATATTTTAAGAATATTGACTATAGATAAGTATTTTATAACAAATTACTGCGAATACTCTGAATAAATGCCAAAAAATCGAATGATAACATATCAAGCAAAAATCGGGTCGATTAATGTACTAGGCTACGAGCTCATTGAAATACGCGTATCGTCTTTCTCTTTCTCTCTCACGAATAGTTTAATATCGTAGAAGCACATTGACCTAGATCTCGAACACGTGAATCGGTAACGTGATCGACCCTCTTTATAACGCAAACATTCTCGGGGGAATTTGCAGTCCTTCAAAAATCGATCGCAGGTATAATAAAAAATATACATGTATATACATATATGTATATACATATAACGCAAGTATATGTAAGTATCTCCTATTCCGGAAATGTTATTTTTTAATAGACGGTTTTTTTTCCAATCGTAAAACTGTCATTTAATACTATCGATATATCTTTAATAATAAATTAATAGTAAAAAAATATATATATATAATCCTTTTCCAACATGTGATAATATTCTTGTTTGTGACATTACATTGACTCAAATAAAAACAAATTCTATTATTTAAAAAATTAATAAAAAAATAGTTAAAAAATCATTTTTAAATATACCACCATTATTAAAGGAATTAAATTAGTTTCTGCAAATATTAGCCTTACTAATGTTATTTTAAAATATCTTATCCGATACAGGAACTCTTATTGTATGATCAAATTGTATTTTTAATTGCATCGGAAGGTTATGGACGTACGCAAGTCGCGTGCGCCAAAGATAGCGGTGCGATTGCATTACTTGTGTCACTATTTTTGACAGGAGCACGCTCTCATCGCTGACAACACGGAAGCTCTGAAAGTTATCTTAATTTAACATTATCGTTATAGAAACTCGATCTTTGATCTTTACGAAGTGAGTGAAATGTGTTTTTTCCGGTAATTTTCCCTTTATCTATGTTCATTTTACTATCATATTATCATAGAAATCGATTATAAAAACATCAGAATAACTTATATATCATTTAAAAAATTGAAATTCTTTTCAGGAAGTATTACTTTATTCTATAAATTTATAAAATTAAAGTAACAATTGTTAATATATGTATTATATATAGTTTTCGTTTAATTTAGATATGTCAACCAGTCAATCAGTTTCTATAATTATATACGTATTGGAAGTAGAGCTTTCGATCGATCACCGAACATCTGAGAGTTGAGTATTTTGGTCAGATGAGACGTAATAGATTATCATTCAAGCATGAGCCACATTTACGAAATTCAAAGTAGAAGTCTGAATCATTATTGTCGCCTATTTACGCCTACTATCATCTACTACCGGCCATTCGATGTCGGCCAGCAGTATCTTACAGATAATCCATCGGAATAGTAAATTATAATACGTCCTTGGGGAGATGTAGACGTAGGCCACTCACTAACGTCTTAAATGTGTAATGATACACTACCTCTTGCATGAAATACATTAAAGCACAAAAAATAAGATAATATTAAAAATTACTCATAACTATGAGAATAATAAAGAAATTCTTGTCTTATTAAAATACATAAAAGCTAAACAATTTTTAGTCAGCATAATGTATAATCACTTTATTTAATAAAATAAGAGATTTAAAAATACTTTTATATAAAATTATTAAAAAAACAAAAATATACCCTTTTTTTTATACTCATATTTACAGAAAGTTTAAAAATTCAGATTATACTTCTTTTACGAAATTACAAAAATATTACGATTATGACCATAACTTTTGATGTTTATAAATAAAATACGAAAGTTATGCTAAAGCTGTTAGCTTTATTCTGTCAAACTGCATAATTTAACTCCATATATAGTTCGGTATATCGATTAAAAATTATGCAAGCGTTATGCAAGTTCAAGGCGGTAACGGTTTATCTTGCACAGTCCGGCGCATGTGGATTGCATGGCGAGATACGTGATTTATCCTGTGCCGTTATATAAATTACCTTGCCAATGAACAAGTACGCAACACGGAGAAATGTTTATTAAACACAAGTGCAATTAGGCTTCTAGGTTATCTATAGCAATCAAATAATGAAGTTGAACTTGTTTTCGCAAACATGAATCATTAAACTTTCTATGCTATGAATAAACTTAAGTATTATCAATCAAAATGTTGTCTTATCCAAATAATGATCACATTAACAACCCTTGCATACTATTCACCTCACATTTACTTATTTGTTCACTTGTTATTATTCTTTATTATTCATAAAAAAAAACAAAAAAAAAGTTCAAGTTAATATTAATTAGTTTATTTTAATAAACACTTATATAAACTATTTTTATTATTTTAATATTTTGTTGTTTCTACATTTTATCTTTTTTTATTATTTTTTAATCTTAATTCTTTAATATAAATTAGTAACAATATAAATGTAAATGTTACGCATATATAACAGTTTTTTTGAAGATATTAATATTGAAAAGTTCTTTAATAGAATTATGTCTTATAATCGCGATAACTCGCATAATCGCCTTTTATTTCTTGTAATTGAGCGCAACATATATATATTGCATATAATGCAGTGGATCAATGTGCGTTAATACATACGTAAATCAAACGCTCGCCAAAAATGTCGTGCATATATAATAAGATTTTCGCGTGCGTATATAACGCTGTCATGGTCATTGAATTGCGTCGACATGATTATGATCGTGAGCGATGAAAATAATCACCGCGTAAATAAGTGCACATATGATTTAATCAATTGCAAGATAAAATTTCAATAAAATTTTTCCCGGTATTAATTATAATATTATTCACTAGAATATCTTATAATAAAACTTTTTTTGTGTTCCTATATTACTTATGTTTCATCACGTGCTACATAAAAATTAGTTATATTATTAAATTACTTATATTAATAGAAATTATTTCCTTGATTTTTTTTGTTAATAGATAATTTAAAATCTTTATAAACAGCAAAATCAAACATAATCTTCATAAAATAATTAACTATCAAAACTACATTAATCATAAACGTATAAATTGATTAACAAAAAGTAAGCTACAAAAGGTCAATTTCACGACACTGTTTCATAATTTTATTAAAAACTTAGTTAATACAATATTTGAAAGTAACTTTCATGAGGTAATAAGTTGTCAAATCTACGCGCATCAGACTATATTAAATGGATTAACAAAGAACAAATAAATGTAATAATTAGCAAAATATGCCGAATACGCAATCACATATTAAAATATTGCTATTCATCTAATATACTTGAAGGTACAATGCACTTATTAAAAAAATTGCCAGATTGCTCTTACAAAAATATTTTGTAAAGTGTTTTCATATTTTTGTGTTTTTATACTATATATATGTCGGCATTTTACTAATTTTAAATTCAATTTTACTGTTCACTGTGTACACTTGAACTATTCATTGATTCAGTGTTTAAAATGTATAATGTACATATATAATATCATAAAATAGCTAAAAAGAAAAAATTATGGAATATTAATTATCCTCCCCTCTAAACTAGTTAATGCAGAATACATTTTAAATAGTATTAAAATATTGTGATTATAACAAAATAAAAATATATTACTATATATGCAATTATTGTTTTATTTTAAAGCACCATTAAGATTTTACGTTCTTTTAAAGTATAATGAAGTATAAAAAAGACTTAAATTATTTTAAGAGAAATATTCTATAACAATATAGCATATAAAAAGATAACCCAAGTTTTTTGTAATTTTGGACAATTTATGTTGCATTTTGTCATTTAATCTGCTTTGTCGCAAGGGCGTAGAAGTCAAGTGAATAAAAGGAAAATGCGGAGAGGTGCAAGATCGACTCCACCCTCATAGAATCTCACGACACTCCTATCGAGGTTACCAGACAGCATGTAACGTAAATCGCCAAGATCGACAGTCGTGAATCTTAGGGTTAGCATGAAAAAGGCAATTGCTTCTATTTTCCCATCCACCTTCTCTTTTGACACCTCTTCATTCCCTCGAGAGTATTCGGATGTATGCACGCATACGCGTAGCTCTGAATCCCACAGATGAACTGATAAGAAAAAAAGAGGAGCAGAAAAAAGAGAGGAAAAAAGAGAAAGAAAGAAGAAAAAAACAGAAAAATGAAAGATCAGAAATAACGGGGAATGAACGAGCGCGCGAGAAAATAAAAGAGAGACAAAGATGGATTAGTTCCTTTCAATTGCACTTTCTTACACTCTGTATACTTTGTCAAATTATTCGCGCTATTTCATACTTTCTTAAACTCATATATATCAGACTACATATTGGAGATTAAAGATTATATAGATTGAAAATTAAAATTTAATCAATCAGGATAAAACAATAAAATTAAATTTATCCAATTGGTAGAGTTTGTATCATCAGTTAGCAGTCTTCGGTTTTCAATACCTAATTTGGAGATCAATTGTGTATGTTGAAATGAGTTGAAAATGATAAAAGTGAGCAAATTTATTAGAATATTTATAATTTAGTTAGTTAACATCATCTAGTAAATTACTTTTATAATTTTTACTTGTTTCAAGATACAGAATCAACTTTCTGATACGAGCTTTGCTCTTTTTGTATTTAAAAGATAAATGTATATGTAATCATAGTAAAAAGAAATAAATATATGAAAAGAATAAATTTGAACTGAACAAAGTCAACAGTCAAAGAAATAGATTATTCATCCTCTTTTATACTTTATTATATTTAAAGAGCAATCATAAGCATGTGTAAATTTAAATTAAAACTATGGTTGAAAATAAAGTACAATTTCAAAATCAATTTTATATCGAAAAACATATAATGAAGAAAGAAGTAAAAAAAAGGAAATATCGCAGATAGAATAAATGAGAAAATGAAAGAGAGACAAAGATGGACGATGAGTCTGCTCGTTTCAATCGCACCTTCTTACACTCTCTACACCCCCGTCAAGTTAATTGCACTTATTCATTATTTCACACCTTGCACTTTCTTACACTTTTCATGCCTAAATCAAAATAGATATGTACGCAATTGTTATAAGAGAAAAAGAAAAAAGTAAGTAAAAAATGGGCAATATCCAGCAGTGAAAGAAGCAAACCGTCGATCCTTTTCAATCGCAATTTATGACATTCGAACGGTACTCGACAGGAGCATGTGCGTAAAATTGAATGAAAGTGAAAGCAAAACAACAAAAGAACAGTTTCTCAAAGAATCTCGAAAACTATGCAGGTGAAGAGAGAAAAAGAGAAAAAAGAAAGAAACTGTAGCAGATGTGAGGAGGTTATGGTACTTACTGCTGATCTTCATACCGCCGAGGGGCGGATTCGCAGGCTGCTTGTTACCCTCGGCGAAGGAGGTGGTTCTCGGTCGTCCGCTCATCCTGAAGCCTTCTCGACCGCCTCCACCTCCGCCTCCACACCTACACCGCGACTTGAAAAGGTTGCGTCCCCGCCGCCTCTTTCTCTCCTGCTACTCCTGCTGCGTCTACTAGGTTAGGTTGGCCGGTACCTCTCCGGCGATTCTCCTCCTCCTCCTCCGCCACCGCCTGAAGTTAGCCCTGGTAGTCGCCGTTGATGTCGTTTCCCTTGTCGTCAACACCACCTCGCACATCAATAACAATCACACACGCGATTATCACATCGCACGAGAGTGCGCGCTCACGCGCGCACTTTCTTTTCTCTCTCTCCTCTCTCTCTCTCTCTCTCTCTCTCTCTCTCTCTCTCTCTTCTTATTTTCTCTATCACCTCTTCACACCGTTTTCACGTTTTCTACTTCACGTTATGCCAACGACGCTCGACTACTAGTTCGAAGATGGAAAAGTTAAAAAGTATGACAAGACTAAAGGAGGAAGGTGAACGTGGAGGGCAGGAGTGTGGGAAGAGATGGCGACAAGGAGCGCGAGAGACCGCAGACGACACTAACTTTTTCACGGATGACTTTTATCTTCCCGTACGCGCGCAGAGATGACGAGGTCGATCCACATACACTGTGTTCGTTGCACGAGAGCACCTTTTCCACAGAAGGGGAGGGGGAGGGAGAGAGGAGAGCCCACCTTCATACACTCGTACAAGCGACACCACCCTCTTTTTCGGCACACTGACGCGCACTCTCTCGGCGACGACGGCCTAGCTTCCTCCTCGCGCTGCTGTCACGGCGATGCGGCAGTGGCGGCCGCGAGCAGTTCCAAAGCGCGGTACCGTCAGCCAATGAACGGTAGCGGGGGAGGGGGAGGCTGCAGAGCGCCGCTGGCGAGAGCGACGAGGGGTGCGTGCCAACGTCGTGGCGGCGGTGGCGGGATGGTGGTGGTAGTAGCGGTAGTAGCGACGACAGACCGACGTTTTTGGGACGGCTTGTACTACTCGGCTCCTATAAAACACGGCTACTTCCTCGCGGTCCCGTGCCTCGGCTCTCTCCGTCGGTCGGCGATGTATTACGTAGCGGCGCGCCACCGCGCGGTACTCCGCCGACGACGCGCGGCGTGAATTCTTACTTCCACGGGCAACGTCGCGTTGATCTCCCACCGATCGCGGCTATCTTCACTCCGCACTCGCTTCCCTCTCTCTTTTTCTCTCTCTCTCTCTCACTCGTGTCGTCGCGCCTCGTTCCGTCTTTCTCTCTCCTCTCTCTCGCTCTCTCTTTTTCTGTCTCACGCACTATACTTTTCTTCCTTACTATCTTTCTCTCTCTCTCTCTCTCTCTCCGTTATAGTCTCGTCACTCGCTAGTTACTCCGATTCTTGCGTTACTCTACTTCACTCCTCGTCGTAGATGTCTGACAGATTTCCGTACTGCTGCATATCGCCGCGCGCGGTGCGAGTCGGGTAGTTACGGAGCGAGAAGAACGACTATTGCGCTCTACTCGACAGGAGGTCGTCGTCGCCGTCGCCGTCGTTCCTCGTCGTCGTTCTCGCGTTCAACGCCCGTGTTCAATCGGCACTCTGTCTCTCTTTTTCTTTCTTTCTCTATCCCTTTCTCACTATCGCTGTGTGTCGTGGGCACCGGACAGGCCGACGCAGGGCAGTTCTTGCAGCAGCTTCCTCAGTATGTCGCGACGACGCGATTGGACGCGGTGGGTGATATCGAACGCGAAAAAAAAAGAAACATGCATCCGCGGCGGTCACACGGCGGCGGTAATGTCGAACGATACACACGGCGATCAGCGACGACCTCTCTGCCTCGTCGTCGTCGAGCAGCAGCACGGCAACACCACACCGACCATTGGATTTTTCGATACCTCCTCCTCAGACATTGACCCGTTCGGGCGAGATCGGACCAGTCGAGCGCCGGCGGACATTGCCGAATGTGACGTCAGCGACACCCCGCCCTGCCCCTTGCCGAGAGAGTTAAGAGCGGCGTTTTATCGAGTATCGATGGTGGCGCTGTAGTCACGCTCAACTCTCGCGATTTTCCATCATTTGCATTGTGGCGCGCGATTCGAATTTCAAAAAAGAGTCGTGTAAATTCCATGACATCGACGAGGCTATTAAAGACTGACATTTTTACGGGAGTAAAGCGGAGAGCACAGACTTTTGCATAACGCATAACACATAATGCGTAAAAAATTCCATCAATTTCTTTATTTCCACCAGAGTTCTTTATTTCATTGGGTCTGTGCTTTAATGTGCTTAAAGTCTGCGACTTAATCTACAATACGTTCCTTGCTTCCTGTGTCTTTCTTTTTATCT